CCCGTCATGCTTCCGCAGCATTTTAGCCGCGCCGCACATGGTCCGCAGCTTTTGAACAGTCCGGTCAACGAATCGATGACAGCATCCCTGCGTTGCCAGAAGACCATCGATACCAATCGAACTTCAACTGATTTTATATTACTGGGTTCTGATGCGATACAACAGCAGAGCCCCATGAGCGAGCAACGTCCGATGCACATGGTTCCAATAAGAGAAAATTGCTTCAAATAGTGCAGGCAGATCTGCCCTCAACGTAGTGTTTTGGAGATACTGGAACTAGACTGCTTAGAACGTACGTTCACATGACCATAATGAAAAACGACTTTCGGCATTCCTAGGTAATTTAAAGCCCATCCTACCGCCCACTTCGGCGAGTGGAGTTGCCTCTGCCGCTTCCTCTCTGCAAGTCTCCACGCTTCGGAAGACAGCTTCAGTAGACTTTAGACAGTATTTTGATTGGAGTGCCACTGTACAGCTTCGCCAGTAACCTCAATATGGTGGAAATTGGCAATGCTTGCCAATTCGAGTCAACGCAATGCTGTCATTTTTTTCTTGTATTCTTGTAGATGTTTAACAAGACCGCAATACTGTAACGCATATGATTCTTCTACATTCAAGAAAACTATTGACTCCATAGGCAAGTTATGCACGCAAGGATCCGACGAGATGAAATGATGAAAGAGCAAAAAAACAAATTGTAATTTGTAATTTGTAATTTGTTATTGTTCTATTGTGATATAGCACACCTACACTTGACCTCGAAAGTCTCTACAGAATTGTACCCTTTGTCATAAACAACAAAATTCTCTATAATTTATAACAAAACGATTTATTCATAACAATAACAAATTACTCGTCATCTCCTGACGCTTCACCTCCTTCAGCTTTCTTCATGTTGCGTCTCTTTACACGTCCTGGGCGGCCGCCTCCGAAGGGTGATTTAAGTGAGAAGTCGATGTGTTTCTGCGAGTCAAGACGGACGATGAAGGAAGGAACGTCAACTACTTGGCGGCGAACACTAAAATTGAGGCTAT